CTTCCTAGTACCTTACAAAAATATCTAGCAATAGTTGTTTTAAGTGATTTTCTACGTTAGTATAGAAAAGTGCGTAAAATAGTTAATTAGTTTTTCTAACGCAATCCTCATTTGCATAGGTCGGTCGTTTACGTCCAGTGGTCATTTCATCACAGTTTCCATTATACGTTCATTCACTGTGGCTTTGCTACGCATTAAAACTTGTACGTGAGATGTTTTATATGTAGGTGTTTAAGTCTAGACTAATGAATTACATTAGTATTACGCTTTTCCCTGAAGATTAGAAGCTTTTGGTTAGAAAATACAGACTAAGTCTCGCGGCTTGGGCGTCACCGAACTTACCAAGTCACACGTCAACACGAGGGTCAACGGCGAGCTACCCGTTACTCAAAAACAAAATCTTTATTTATTAAACGAAACTGAGTTTTTAATTAAATAGAAAATTATTTAAACAAAATTGGACAGATGAGGGAAGCTTGATGTGATGGCATCAGTACAATGATTTATTAACCCGATTAACTGTAATGGCGGATGGAAAAGCGCGGTAAATTGACAAATGTCACTGTCATGTCGCCATATTGGGATGTGTTCTGTGTCTATGGATGGTACACAATATTTTAATGCTCGATTAACAATGACTTTACTCATCTCCAGCTAAATAAAGTAAAAGTTTGTAATTAATTTGTAGCTCAGAGGAATCCTCGGTACGCTTCTATAAATAATAAACCGTGTTGTACAGTATATTATAGATTTTGTTTCTAACTTTTAATTGGTGTACCGGGCTCATTATAATTGATACCAGACTTATTTATGTGATTTTAGTATCAATTTTCTTTGTTTTATTATTATCCTAAGCTATTCTGGTAAGCATCCTACACGGTTTTCCTCCCTTTTCCTTTGTCAACTATAGTTTCCGGACTTCCAGGTCCACGATCATGTATACTAATTATTATCACATTGTGTGTCTTAATAAAAAAATCACGAAAATAGTCACAGGGACAATGATTATTTTTTACGTGACAGGGAATTATGCGAAGACAATAAATAACATGTATTTACTTAAAGACTCAACAACATTATACCTATAGAATATTATATTGTAAACATGTCATTTTACCAATTCTAATACTATTCTAACTAGGTATTCTGTTTTTGTGTGTATTATGATATGCACACAACAATGACAACACTTTGAAATGGACTGTCCTTCACGGGTCGTTTACATCAATGCTGTAAAAAATTACACGTGTGTGCACGATCGTCACGTTGACATATTTGATTATAAACTAAACACACTTATGCATAGTTTGGTATCAAAGTTATAAATAAACACTAAAACGACTGTATTTGATGTGGCAAACAAAATTGTGTTTAGGTAGCTTATAAAAATAATGGCGCCACTGTAGTCTTATTTCTTATAATTAAAAGGTTGACGTCACTAAGTTTGACATTTGAATTGACAGCTGTCAATCGTAATTGACTTTAATTGAAAGAAATGGCAGAAGTGGGTTCTTATTCAAAGTTTAATGAGTGATTAAACTGAAGATGACATTTCTTTCATATTTACCATTTAATGCAAGAAAAGTTATTCTGTAAAATTAAATGCTTTTACAATGTAGTGGTATGATGCAGTTGGCGCGTGTTAGTCGTAATTGTATCCGCCTCTCATTTATTAAAACGTGACTCGGTTTGCGTGCGCAAGAGTCGCCTAACTACTGGATTGATTGACGGTGAATTGGTGAATGTGTCCCAACAATTAAATTACTCAAGCATTTCTTATTTACGACTCATTTTCCTCCATGCTTATTCCTTAGTGCTGAGGGTTTTGGCGTGACCACCCTCTTCTGTAGTTCTGCGTCTCTTTCTCACGTTTGATATTTTTCTATCAGTTATTTCTATCTCTGGGGGTGTGTTTACAACTCCTAAATAGTTAAACTTTTGTATAATCCTGGGTTGAAAAAGTTAATAATAGGTCTTACGTATGCCGTTCTGCAGTATTGCCCACTTCAAATCAAATAATATATTATAATATAAATAATAATTTTTGTTTGGTTAAGAATTCTAATTTCAAATTAATGTAATTTTGAAACATGGAGTTTATTTTCCAAAAGTAGTCATTTTATTGATTATTGTTACATTTTCGTAGCATTTCAATATTTTTCGTCATTATTAAAAAAATCGAGTAATTATGAATTTGTGTATCGTCGTTGTGGCGCTCGGCAACGCGGCTCAAGCGGCACGCAACATCAACGACATTTACGGAGCTAACTATTTATATATATTGATGACCAAATATTACTGTACGTAAGTGTAATGTAGATAATAGCGATAATGTACTGTATAGTAATCACGATAGCTGCAATTGAGATGGCGAATATGGCGATATTAACGACTTTTCATAAATGTTCATGGCCAACTGTAATAATTTTTGAATTTAAATTGTAATAACTTTATTAACCTCTTTCGTTGAATATGAATTTATTATTTTTATAGCACTATTCAAAAGTCCTTGTTTATGACGTGCAAAGGACGTGGTCATTATCCTATTGTTATCGTATCCATACTTAATAGGTTCTCCAAACCTCTCACTTTACGTAAAACAGTCCAACATTATAAAACCGTAATAACGTTATACAACATTAATGAATTTCCTACAAATTTCTAAAAAACTGCAGTACGTCGCGTGCGCATATTTCATTAACAAAGTTATCTTCGGCTTCAATCGTCTATCTTCGGTGTTATTGATCGTCAGAAATCAACCGATGACCGATACTTCCGCACGAATGCCACTGCCAATTGACCATTAAGTGACAATACCGTCAACGCCATAAACACAACTTTAAGTACCCAAGTTATCAAGTACTGCAGGACTGGGAATGATATCGTTTGCTTATCTTTCCACGCAAGTCGCACGAACAATAGTTTGTTAGTTTACTTGAAGGTTATCAACCTGTCACTATTACTGCATTGTTTTATTCTTCGAAAACTGCTGGAACCTACTGTTTGCCTTGTCCAGCTTCGCCAGCGATGGCTAATGGATAATAGTATCCTTAAGCAGTTGTTGTCAGACAGCCTAAGTGCTTAACAATGCGCTAATTATGTCTAGTTGCCGTTTTAATGATTGATTTGCATGTGCAGCTTCATTTGTATGGCTATCGTGTAATCTTAAACGATTTGATTTGCAGGACAACTAGAGAAAGTTTACGGTCAAAAATTCGAAGCGTCCAATTACATTTTTGGTCTATGACTTAGATGGTATTTCTGAAAAGTAATTTCTCTCCGTTTTTCTAAGGATTGGTTAAAAAGGTGATAGCTCCGTCTCATGAGGGTGATAGTATTGCCACCCAACACAAACCCGAAATCTTTGCTGGAAAATTAAAAATTGACAATGAATTCTAAGTAACTGAATCCTGTCCCCATTGCATTCATAATGCAGTTACATGAACTTCAAGGTAGGTTAGATAGATGCAGTATACACCTTGTCAATGTGTAACAATTGAGATAAGTACTGATTCTAGCCGAGAATATTACTCTGCAGTTAGATAAGGCTAGTTTATCTAGCTCGGTGCTGATGCCGACCGGACTGGTTCGCAACCGGACCACACTTGCTTTACATTAATGCAAGGTTCAATAGATATAACACGAATATGAATAAACTAGTCTCAGAATGGCATATGGTTATGGTCAGCATTGTCTAGAAGCTGATGATGATGGTTGGTTAGTTTTGGAAAGAATGTAAATCATCATACCTGGTTGTTATATGAAACAAATCATGTGAAAATCGTTACAGCTAGTCAGAATCTTAAAAAATCTGATAAAGGGTCTAACTAAGAATGTAGTACAACCCTTCGAGAACCTTTGTCTAATTTTCAAGGTCAGGATAAAGACTGGTACAATTACAAAAGGTAGTTAACGGAACAAAATATGATCAAAGAGAAAAGCGACAGGACAGTATATCCAGTCGCCAAAGTTAAACACCACATGCTACTTATTGTTCCTATTGGCCAAAGGTAGGCAATTTATTTTAAGTAGGTATTTTGAGTTACCGAAAGGTATTATTTTCCATTGACACGTATCGTTATTTCACTTTTTAATAGCACGAACCATGAAACAGATTCTATTGTACGTTATGACTCACTAATGGAATAAATAAGCTTGTCCAAATCTGGCACCAAGCCATTTTGTGATAAGTTTTAGGTTTCAGAGACAAAAGTCTAGCTTTAATACTATATAGAAATAGGTTTTCTTAAAAGCTAATGTAATTTCACTTGACAAATTCAACATTAATGAAACATGTATTAAAAGTCACGTTTTCCACACTTTGCTGAACATAGATTTATATTGAAGCATTAATTTGACGTTCATGTTGGAATATTAACACCGACTAACGTAATTATAGGTCTCGCTTAATGCATTAGCGGTAGCGATTTCGTCACAAGTAACAAATTAATTTGCTTATACAAATTCAATGACAGTGCTATAAGTATGACAAAATATTATCCATCACTAATCATTGTAATAATCTAAATACGAATTAATTTTGAATTACTGCTATACTGTAATTACTAGTACTAACTAATTACTTCTTTGCCAATATTATTGATTAATTGGGGTTTATTAGGTAGGACTTCACTATAAAATTGCGTTTAGATCAGCGCCAGCAACTTCGAGAGAGAGAGACAAAGATAGATAGAGTAACAAAGAAACAGTGAGGCTGATGGGAAGCAGCGTTTCATCCGTGTGGTATTTTTAACAGTTAAATATTTCATTCAAACTGTTGTAAATACCACAGGAATTTAATAAATAGTAAATATTTTTTATGAATAAAAAATCTTTTTATAGTTGGGGATGATGCTTGATCTTCTATGGGTTCCGAAACCATTGATCAGGTTTTGATAGTGCTTTAGTATGGTGTTCTAGAAACGTTTTCGAAAATCCAAAGCAAAATATATCTACCTAACTAGTTTCATTTGTAAATGAAATATTATGATTGTTGTTTCAGAACAAGTGGTGGTCAGGCGTCGGGCCGGGCTGCTGCACCGCGCCCGCCGTGCCGAGTCGCGCGTGCGATGCGGAGCGGTCCCCGCCGCCCGCGCCGCCTCCCGCTCCGCCTGTGCTTTGCGCCAGACCCTGCTGTCGCGACGCCACGTCAGTATACTCTTTGCTTTATTTTCTTTCACCAAGTAGGAAGCTAGATAAAACCCAAGCATGTAATTTTAAATAGATGTAATCTCGGCTATCTCAGCTACTAGTTTATAATTAAAAGCTTGTGTCGTTGACAAGTTATTCAGATAAGACTGTCCACTACTCGTTGAAATATCGTCACAAAAACGAAGTACACATAAAGGGTCGCACAAAATGTAATTATAAGGGTGCGCAATATTCTCAACTACGCAAAGCTAAATTATGCTTAATTAAAATTTTCATTCAAGTATGAATAATGGTCTCCCTATTTCACAACTATTCTATGGATGACCATCTCTGTTGACAAAAGAAGCTTGTGAAATTATTATAATTGCTAAAGGGTTGGAACAGATGACCAACTCTCACAAAAACTTTAATAATATTCGAACTAGGATTTACTATGCGAATGTTAGGGAACTTTTACATTCAGTAAATTTTGAATGCTCCCCTACATGCAGTATCCTTTTTTAGTCCAGCACAAACTTTGTCTGGAGAGAGCCAAATGGGTACGCCACCAACTAATCATTTGTCACGGTTGCCAGAAGAAGTTTCTATTCGCGAAAAAATACCATGAAAGTAATTTCCGACGTTCTAACGTCATTTTGAGCGTTGGAGCGAGGGTTGCTAGTTGAATTCCGTAAAGTGCTTTTAGTAGGGCCGTAGATGTAATTTCAAATCATAGCAAATGAAATTTTGAAATGACCGTAAAGGTGTATTTGGTTTACCGAGAGCAATAGTTTACTTTCAATAGACTAGAACTACGACATAGTATCTATCTATGTAGCAGTTAAAACAACTGAACAATTCATAGCATCAACATCTAGTTTAAAAACAAGCAAACATTTCATACAATCGGCGTTTGCGTTCCCACCGTGTGCGTACTCTGCTCAAGCGCAGGTTAATGGTACCCTCATTATTGAATGGGCCACACAATACGGGGAATTCGGGTGCGCGGTCCCCTCCGCTACAAGCTACCTGTACCCCCCGCTACCCTCAACCCTCGCCAGCTACCCTAGTCCCTTAGCCTATCCCAAAGCGTCATTCGGGTTGCAACCCTTACGATGCGCGCACGCATTCTTCCGGGAGTCACGAGCTCAACACAACTATTAAAACATTCGTTCCTAATATTGGATTGTTTATAGTATAAGTGAGTGTATAGTGAAATTTTGTACAGTGTAATATAGTGAAGTTTATGTTTATATTATTTTTAACAATAGTGTACATAATATCACATTTTGTAATAATGGATCTATCTATAAAACGAGTGAAACGCGAAGAGGTGGCCGACGACAACGACTACTACAATTTTTATGTTGATCATATTAAACATGAGGAATACATGTAAGTTTTTGATGTTATTGCAAGTTATATTGAATATTAGCTACCTTTACAGGTACTGTATTCTGTTTTCTAGATCAATTTAGTCTATTTACACGTTTCTTTCTCTTTGGATCACGCTAAATATTTGGAATCGAAGTTATCCTGTTTTGCAGCACTTAACCTAGCCTAGTTTCCTTAACCTTGTAGCTCGGAGTGCTTTTTGGCATAGACTTCCTCTAAGTGTTTCCGCTAGTATCTGTCTTTCTTTCTCTTTTGCAATGGTGACCAGTCTTTTGAGTCAGGTCGACCTTCCACCTTCTTTGACGTTGCCAATCGTAGTCTATCTCCATTTGTTTTGGGCGTCTCAATTCCTATGGTAGACCGATCTTCACTTTAAATAATACCTAATATATCAATTACTTTTGTTTTTCTCTTTTATTGTTTGTTTTGTATTTTCATTTCTATCATATTTCTCTTAAATTTTGTCTGAAAGCGATCCAATTTGCTCTGTCATACCTGGTTTTAGCACAAAGTTTGCAACCGATAAGTTATAAAGTTTTTTTTTCGTAGACATACTCATCTTGGATATTAAACTTCCGACCTCTTTAAACTGTCAAACACCAATATTGTTCTTTAATTGTGTCTATAAAACCGGTACTCGACGAGTTAATCAATTCCTTTAGTAGTTTGTAAACAATTTGTGTCAGATAGTTATTTCTAAACCTTACGTGTTCTTCATACTTTGTTTGTATAATATCCTGATCATTTCTATGAGATGTACTGGATCTTCTTCGAGCAGGACTATGTTGGCTGCAACTCTCAGATGATGAAGTATATAGAAGATCTTTTCTACCTTTTATTTTGGTACCTGTTCCAGGTTTGCCTCTCTTAGTTCTTCGCCAAGTCTTTTGCTCCTCCTGCTTTCTATACCTGTTATTCCTTCAGTTCTTTTAGTATTTCTTACCGTTCAGTTCGTTAGTTAAACGCTTAAAATTTATTAATGTAAAGCTAAGAAACTGTAAACCAGTTTGTCTTCAAATTGCCAAATTGTCTTGCCTCTCAGCTATTGCTATTGCACTGCATTCTTTACAATAAAAAACTGCAATTTAATTATTAGTAAAATGTAAATTACTTTCCCGTTTTACTCAACATAATTGCGTACTTGATTGCTATATAATTACAATGTCTATATGCAAATATATGCTATACCTATTGCACACGTTTTCTTCGAAAGAATTCTAATTCTACACTGACCAAGAGTTCTAAGGTTTATTTTTTTAATCCTATAAGCTCACAAAGTATTTATGTTTTTAGAACTTTTTTTCTATCTTTACAAGACTTTTGCTTTTTAAGTCTTTTGTCAGTAATGTTAAATAATGTAATATCCCAAGTCTTCTTCGGTATTTGTATAATAACTTCAGGATATAACTGTAGATACTTTCTCTTCTGTCGCAAAAAATATTTTACTTACATCAAGTTTTTTCCCTCCTCTGTCAAACTTTAACAGATTCTCGATTCTATTCGAAAAGCTTTAAAGTTGAAAGTCCAATAAACTAATTTTGCGATTCGCAGAAGCTTGAAGTACTGCCGTACTTCGAAAATAATAATAAAGCGTGCCCCTTACTTTCGACGTTATTTCCAATAGGATATAGTCCGTTTTACAACTTTACACTTTATGAAGTTAGCAATACGATCTAAAATCGAATAATTTGTATCTATTTATCGGAATTGCCCCTAAGTTTAGGCCTAACGTAGACAAGCGCAAACGCCGACGGGATTTTTTGTAACGGGAACTCGTGCGTGGATACCATTTATTTTTTGTTACCTATTTTATTTTTGGGTGTAGCAAAAAGTTGTAGTATAGTAAAATGAAGGTGGATTTTGAAAAGGTTTGAAGAATGTTTAAAGTTACACTTGTGTAGGAAACAACCACCTGGCTGGTGGTGATTTTGAATGTTTTTTGCAGTATTATGGTGTCAGATCAAAATGTTTCATATACCTATACGTATGATGTCTGTATGCTCGGTAATAAATTCGATTGTCTGTGACGATCTTCTAAACGAATCTTATCTGAAAAATTTGGCACAAAAAAGTGATGGATTACTTATAATTTGGAATAGCATATAGGCTACTGTTTATCCAGCTAACCTTTGGACTAGAATTTAAGCACTAACTATTTGGTTTGCACGTTTTCTAAACATAGTATTTTTTCTTAACAGAGTCGCAGATAGCATTGAACCTCGTCGCGTCGTCGTTGAACAAGTCGGCAGCGGCGGCGGCGCGGGCGCGAGCGGCGCGCGGCACAAGACGGCTCCCCAGGCCGCAACGACGACGGCACACAGCAAGCAGCTGGCGGCGGGCGGGGCCAACCACCCGCCCCAGCCGCAAGGTAACCATAAACGTAATGTCTTTGTTGTTACCTCCTTTTTATACACATTTAGGTACACACATATACACACCACATGATCAACATTATTTTATTCTGATGAAATTCTCAAATTAAGTATAGGTCTCGAACTAATAAAAATTGGTCTAAGGTATGGATATTTAAGTTAGTTTTGATAGACAAAAATATAGTTTAAAATCTTATGATTAATCAACAACATTTATTATATTTTAGTTTCATAGATTGTTTCCATTTTATATCTTTGTCACATAAATATAAAATCTTTTATTTAAAATACCACGAACTAATAAAATAACACTAGCAAACGGGATATTTTGGCAAAGGAGAATGGCAGGTTTGTATGGAAGTTTTGTACCGCTATAAAATTTTGTATTAGTCATTGTTTTAACCAAGTGAATAGTCTGAACGATAGATATTTTTATTATGAAGTTTAGAAAAAAATTACATATTTTTAGAACTTGGGGTTCAAAAGTTATTTCACTTTGAAAATGTGCAAAAGGTATGTTAAGGTGGTACCACACTTGACATTGCGTAGTCGCTTCATTTGTCCAAATATTTGTAGACTTCGTACAAATGGCGTCCAAATAGTATCTCTATATGTAATGGCGTGCAAATATATAGCAAACAAAGAAGAATAAATCCTCCAAACATGTTCTTTTTTGGCCGAACACAACAAATACGCAACGTCAAGTGTAGAGCCACCGTAAGCAAAATATCTATTACAAATGACAGATGACAGTTAACTGAAAAATGTCAATGTGCTCTCATGTGGTTGTTTATTTACAAAAAACAAAAATCTAAAAATACTGCTCGCTACTCAAGTGACTATTACACTTTGTATTATTAGAAAGAAAGAAAGAAAGAAAAACCATTTATTTTGCTACGACACACAACAAGAATTTAGAAACCCAAAAAATAACCTATGGTGCGTCGCAGCGCAAAAGGCAATTAGGAATGATCCTGTTAATTCAGCAAGCATGATGCACCTATAGAGTTTTAAAGAGTATGCCTCACAATCTTTTTCATTTCTTAGGTGCCTACGAAAATGCAAATTCATAATGTAAGCGACTGTCATTGGGTAGAAGGCCTACATTTAGCAGTGGAAGTCTTGTGGCGGATATGATAAAACTAATGTCTCACTTCACCTTGAATCTTGCAGGTAGATAGTCTCAAGGGTCTCAAGTTAATTCGATTTAAACTTAGCTTAGCTCTTTGAGAAAGTATTTCTTCTGAAAACTGGTTGCTTAGCACGCATGTAAGGATTAATTTCTAATAAGTAAGTCAAATTAGTAGAATCATCAACATTTTCATCATTAAGTCTATAAGTGGCCACTGCTGACCGAAGCCTCTTCTCGCATGGAGGTTTGAGCATTAATCACCATACTAGCTCAATGTGGGTTGGTAATTCAAACTTATAATAAGAAATTATAAGCCCATGTTTCCTCACAATGTTTTCCTTCACCATTCGTCAGCGGTGTCTTTGTACTTTCTTAGATTATTGAATATACCAATAACTCGGAAAAAAGACACATTGGACAAAAGGTACTTTGCCGTTGGTAGGTTTCGAACCCGCACTCTCATGCATGAGAAGCGGGCTTCTTAAACCTCTGGGCCACCACATTACAACTAAAGAAAATGTAAAATGAAAATGAACATTTTTGGTATAAAACTAAAGCTATCTAAATTATATGGCATTTATTTTATAGATTGATTCTTAAAATCACTTTTATCAAGATGGAATATATAGTTACTTACTAGGTTAAAATAAAACAAATGTATTATTTTGAAATACTTTTATTTCATTGTATTCAGGTTGTTTCTAGGAGTACTTCATCTAAAAAGAGAACAGGCCGTGTCATAGGTACAGCAGACATCAATTGCTGATATCTGTAAACAAGTAAGATAACTGTAAATAAAGTAAACAAAAGTACATTTTTTTCCTTTAGTTTTATATGTTATAATAATAAGTCTGATTCCCTATCTTAAAATGGAAAAGATAAAAATAAATATTTGATTACATTACTTCATTTATAACATTTATTATAGTTATTCGTATAACACAGATCATAGGAGCTCAAACAGCATGCTAATTAATAAATTATAATTATAACATGAGTATAAACCTATTAGAAACCGCTTATATACTCCACATAGATACATAATTATGTAGGTACATTATATTGAGAATGCATACCTGTTGAAGCTTTGAGAGCCGAACAACATCATCCGGCCTCATCTGTTCTACAAATGGCAATGTTAAAGTGAGGCTTAGTCCATGTTTACATAATACATTACTTCCTGATAGTGAACACTGTGAGGTGGTATGTCAGGTTGTGGTTTTATAGTTTCGACTCTTGTACGGTCTCTCAGTCAGTATGGAACATGATCTTCATCATGGGAAGTAAGCTAAAATAAGTAATATTATTAGAATATGATATTGACTTTAGATTACACTGTATATAGATAATAGTATGGTTAAATTATGCTTTATTACCTCTTGTGGCTGAATCCAATCAAATACTATATGAGCCAGTCTTTACTCCTGTTTGTTGGCGCCTTCAATTAAAACCCTGCGTCACCTTATCATTGCAATGAATCACCCATATACGACACAAACATGCCAGTGACCAATTTGTTTGCTGGACATACTTTCAGCAACATCCCGATACATTGCTAATTGCCAGCAAGCATTGCAAATATGGTCGGTAGGAGAGATCTAGAATAAAAAGAATAAAATGATACATTATGGGTAGATAACACTATGCGCCTTCTTTTATTCAGGCAACATGGTGACTTTCGATATGTTATGGGTAAACTAGGTACTTACATCTCTAGGATAAGTCCACATTGGGATATTGTTGACCACGTCTAATCTTCACTCTCATTTTCTAGAGCATGCCGTCTCATGTGCGACAAACTCTGAATGCAATTAATACACTGTAAATTCATCATCGCGACAAATAACAACACACTGCACAAAACAATGTAAATAAGTGTCTTTTCGCAATTGTCACAACAATGATCCAATAATACCAATTTGGGCTACGGAGGAACGGTTGCCAAACTCAACGTATCACCAGATGAATAAAATAACTTCAAATTCAACAAACACATCATAACATCGCATTTGAAACAAACAGCAATGCGCCAGTATTGACAAATTAATTGTCAATGTCATCAAGACAAATGCCAGTTCAACATTGCCATAATATTCAAGTTTGTTAAAATGTCAATTATCATTAATAATCCATGTAAACGTAGATTTAGATTGGATGTAGATTTTTATATTTACTTATAAAAATGTTTGAAATGGAAAGGAAAATATTTCATTGATAGATATTAAAATAAATGAGTTTATGAAATAGCGAAATTCAATATGCTCTGATTTCATCTTTACGCATGGCAACTTTGTAAACGTCAATCGCGGTTCGTTTTACGTATAGTGGATTGCTTTTTATCATTATTGAATATCAATTTTTCTAGGGTTTCCCAAGTTTTAAAAATCTATTAAATATGCTAACATAACGTACTTAGGAGGTTCTATAATGACCCCATTTTTTAATGAAAAATATTTTTTTAGCGAAGCGGTACAAAATCTGCCGTTCTCCTTTTTAACGTAAAACGGGTAAACCCTTGATAAATCGAACAAAAGAGATTTTATTGAAAGGTGAGCAATTTGGAGAACTTTATGACTATTCCTTTTGACCAAGTAACACTTACAAACTTCAAACAAATTACACTGAAACACTATTTAAAGGATATTCAGACATTTCCGTAAACCTTGTTTTATTGTAACACAATTATTTTTTGTGCACATTGTCTAGGAAAGGCTGTATCACACTGACTGTAAAATATATTTTTTTATTTATTATAGGGTAGGTGTTTATTTTTTACAATATATTGCAGTTAATGATTGTTTTAGAATTGACTTAGTTTCATCGATTCTTATACACACATATTTTAAAAGTTTGTTATGGGCCAAAAATATAAGACTCAACCTCAACATAACTCAAAAGACCTAAATCTCTTAAATTATATTATCTTTTATTATTTATTTAAAGGATAATTGTAATTACCAAGTAATGTTTCAAATCTTCTATTTATGAATGTCATTGACATTTAAAAATACACAGTCAGATTGTCAAAGTTACAACATTTTATTTAAAGTTCTTTTGCCCAACCTTGGCATTAAAATAAATCTTGATAATTATCATTACACTTGTTTTCTCAGTCGTATACGGTATAGGCAGTCGCGGAGAACCTAACTTATTTACCGGGGCTCCGGCTCGACGTGCAGGAGAAGGAACGGGGTGGTTTTTAGTCAGTAAGAGTCTGACACTCCCTTCCGCCTCACCCAGGCGGGAGCAGTCATTCGATGATTTTCCCCCCTTAAAAAAAAAAAATACGGTATAGGCAGTAATTTATGTCACATAGTTATTGTTATGTAAGTTACTTTCAATGGGATATAAATACTATGTGGTATAAGAAATAAAATAAATAGCTCAAGTCAAAAGTCACTCCTGAATCTGTTGCGAAGGTTCAGAACATCTCAAGTAATAAAAAAGTTGTTAATACAAAAATTAAGAATGTATTTTTCACAACGGCTTGACAATGTTAGTACCTTATTAAAAGTTAAAAATCATAAAATGTGTGAATATCCTTTAAAAAAAATAAACACGAATTGGGTGTATTGTATAAAATTTCAACCAACCTAACAGGAGGTAACAATACTCAAGGTCCCGTGGGAACCGAACCTGTAGATTGTTTGAACTTTCATGCACTATCCTTTGACAAACGCACTTAGCATAAGTATTTATTTTAAAGTCCTTTTTATGATGTTTACTATGACACCTACAAATAACCTTTAATGTTATTGATATAGAGTTTAAAATTGAATGTTTTATAGCTAGATTCAAGAACATATTGGTAGATAGATTGGCTACCAGAAGGCTTAGTACGAGTATGTTCTACGTTTAAAGTAAGCGAAATGAGATCGCGTTCGACGATCTGATTGGCCGGCTCCAATGGACCAACCAATCAGAGAACGCGCTCTCGTATATCAAACTCGTACTAAGACCTCGGATAGGAGAAATAAAATATTGACATAGACTCTATAAAAATATGACAAAAGTCTACCTATTCTATAGTAGTCAAATCTAATAAGAGAGATTACTATATTTTCACTATGTCATAGTTTTCGTCATATATTTAATTAAGTAGGTCGATAAAAGTTTTACATGTTCACCCGGCTCAAGCCAAGAGAATTCAGTAAACAACTCACTCGTTTTAACATAGTTGATTGATTAATTTAATTAATTGTGTTTTTGTTAACACGAATTAACTTCGCTTGAGCGCAATCTAAAATGTAGTTTTTCGTCTTAATGTCTTTTAGAATGTATACGTTCTTTGGACTTCTCAAAATGTTTTCAATAACACTATTAAATTACTGACACACCAGTAATACTAAAACCTCACGTTAGTATTGCCACTGGAATTAATACACTCACAACTGTTGACCCCCGATTGTACGGTAGACACAGTAATCACTGTCACTATGTCTAATACCTACGCTAGTTACATTAAACTACAATATTCTAGTGCCTAGACCCTATACATGTTAATGAGTCTATTTCTATCGGCACTCCACTGAAGGCTATTTTGAATTAATCATAATTATAAAGCCTTTCAAAGTTACCATTAAACTGTTACTTTGAATTTCAATGGACACCGATTTACAATGCTTTTGAAGTGACTTGATACTTAAATAGGTAAGTCGCAAGCTTTGCGCTAAAAATAACATACAAAATTTTGAAATTAACCCCTTCTCTTTCAGTTGACCTAAATAACAGACAATGACAATCAAATTGACACAATCCTTTATCTTTCTTTCTTCCCCAGATCCACAAGGAAACAAAAAATATGATAATTCTAGAAGACCGACAGCTCGAACAAAACGTGAGATATAGACACACATATTTATAGTATAGGTAACATTTTGGAAGTCCAAAGATACGTCGTAATGCCCTTACAATATCACAAATTACAAACACTACAATATTTACAAAAAATGTTCAGAAATATCTTTAAATATTGAACAGTTTTGGTGAATATGTACTCTGTTTCTTTCTTATTTAAGTTTAGTTTCCAAATGGGCAAGTGTGTGACTAATATGTGGTGTTTTTTGCAACTGCAACGATACAGGCTCCGGCTGTGGTGGCGATGGCGACTACCAGCTGGTGCAACATGAGGTGCTCTACTCCTCGTCCAATAGGTCAGTATTCAATAACTACTTATTAACTTACTGCGATACTCAGAGACATTTAAATGATTACTTTAACTATTCCTTAGTAACAAACGTTAACGGTGCGTTTACAAACATACATGTGAACATGTATGGGTCTGGGTCCGGGTCTGGACCCGGGACAACAATTTGTGGATCACACAAAGATATGTTCCGTGCGGGAATTGAACCCGCGACACGTTGCGCGGCAGCCAGTGGCCCAGCCATCGCGCTAACCACGCAGTCAAATGACTCTGAGTACGGCGGTTAATGTCTAATACATGATTATTATCATCAATTTATATCTTCACATTTTACTGTTTCATCTCAATAACTTACTAGTGAATTTGGCATTATCAGCAATTTCTTAACAAATAGGATTTGGAACTCATATAGGATTCTTTTTTTTCTATCATGAACCTGTATCTTTGTAAACTTAACTTCATATGATCTTTAAAATAAATTGAGAAACAAATTAAAATCTTAATATTTATCTGCACAATAAAGGACTATGCAGGTCTGATAAACCAAAGGATCATAATAAAGATATATCTCAGTATACCATGTAAAGCAGGCCGGCATCATATGTCAAGTGTAGTCCAGGGTTCATTACATGAGATTCTGCGACGCAGTAATTGGCCGGAGGTAGTTGCACGTCCTCAGATATGATCGCACGACGAACAAGCCGGACTGTTGATTATACAGATTGATCTTGATTAACGAGCAGTACCGTGGAATATTATGAATACGTTACAACATGGCTGCCGACTTTACTATCAATATTATTGTTCAATCTCCACCATGTTATGCTATTGGCACACTACTTTTGTAATATTTCTTACTTAGCGATATAACTTGGTATATTTATACTGATATACGTACCTGGTCTTTTAGCCCTAATAGGTTAAGTAATATGCCTTTATTTAACAGTTACCTTTATTGATTTACTTTCTTTAGTTTTTTTTCTCTTCTCTTATAATATCTTCCGATATATTTCGTTGGGGGCCAAGACAGTTATTCATGTCCCTTATATACGCCGAATTTCAGTGCTCTGGTGTTTTCATGGTTGTATCTACTATAGATCCTGACTTACAGGAGTTCCAACGATATTGGGAAGTTGTCCCAAAAGTTACTTTATTGAATCAAGTTGCAAATGAATGCATATTCTTGTTTTTACCTATAACATACAGTTGTGTTCACAGTTCTGAGCAGAAATCCTTGCGCTCGTTTCATTTATCAACAGTCCTTGCATTCTTTCTAGTTTACCAAATACATTATTCATAATCCTACAACAAAACGTTTGAACGTGATATTTTAAATACGCACTTTTTTACTTACAACTCTTTGGCACAGTTTCAGACTGGGAATTGAAACTTACAGATCTGGAATTTAGTGCCTATAAATTAGGTATGAAAGTTAATTTGCTTAGCAATAAATACATTATAAGATGGTAACAGTCTTTGCCAAATGTTTTTAGAATAGTATTGACGTATGTTTCTGTTTATGTGCGTAACATCTACCGCTAAAGAGTTATTCCACTATAACTGAAAATGTATTTTTTTAGTCCTTACTTATCTCCCATTTTGGCATTTTAGTACTATTATACTAACAATGGTGGTGTTTTCTCCATTACAGGTACGAGGTGTTGGAGTTCCTCGGCAGAGGTACGTTCGGGCAGGTGGTAAAGTGCTGGAAGAAAGGCACTAATGAGATAGTCGCCATCAAGATCCTCAAAAACCACCCTAGCTATGCCCGCCAAGGACAGATTGAGGTAATTTATTTTATTTATATTTTTATTATATTTTTCAACATGTCGATGGTGACATTGACATTTTCCCTAATTACAGTGTCCGACAACAATTTTTACATTGTTGTAAAGTTAAAAATATATTTTGAAACGTTTCCAATATCACGTCTGTCGGTCGCTAGTCGCCAGTTAGTCTGTAATAAACATTGTCACTATCACAATAAATACTACTTTAATAACACTTTACTATGTATTTACCTAGATTCTAATCTTTCACGTGTTTTGTATTTTCACTAATATTATACGTTTTTGAAACGTACAAACGTATATTTTGAAACACAGCCAAGTCCAACATTAATATTAGTTTGTATATGAAACAGCCCTTTATGTAGGTCAAGATTTTTTATGAATTCTAGGTTGGTAAATGGAAGAGAGATACTCTTTATTTCCTAGTCGTTAAAGTTGTTATTGGAACATCAAAAATAATTATAGATGTGTAAGTTGATTCAGATTGTCCATTGTTGTTTTACAAAAATAGTTCTTATTCCTTCAGAAATAACTTATAAAACTTGCCAAAAGTAAAATGTGTGATGTCAGTGACATTATTTACGTTTGATAGAAGGGTAGCAAGAGCGTTATAGTGAGTTTGGCTTCGCTCCAGCCGGTCTCTGTTTGTCCACCGGAGTGGTTCCACCCTGTATATAACATCTAGGAGACTACACGTCGTCGTTGGCCTCCATTTTCATGTTATGACAGGTGGGATGTCAAGAATTCTCTCTTGGCGTTTCTTAGATGTATATTATGCGACGTAACACTTATGTTTTGTATAAAATAATCGTGCGAATGGTACTGTATTCACGGGATTGGTTTACAAAAGAGATATGTTCTTAAACCTTTAAATAGGACAAATGACATTACTCAGACCGCCAAATAAATACCGAATTGAAATAGAAAGTAATGTTTTTGTTTTTGCCTTGTTTAGCCTTAAAGCATCTTGCCAATTACCTGGGTTAAGGTAATTTTTTTGCATTGTTCCGAACTAAAAATTTTATGTTTTCTTTTCCACAGGTATCTATTTTGTCCCGGCTCTCGCAGGAGTCAGCGGATGAATTCAATTTCGTCCGAGCGTATGAATGCTTCCAGCACCGCTCACACACATGTCTTGTGTTTGAGATGCTGGAGCAGAACTTGTATGACTTTCTTAAGCAGAACAAGTTCTCGCCGCTGCCTCTCAAATACATCAGGCCTATACTCCAGCAAGTCCTCACGGCGTTACTTAAACTTAAAGTAAGTGTTTTTGTTCATAAACCTTCAGAAAACTAAAGTAACAATTCTCCCCTTAAATGTTTTATTAAGGCTCTCACGCCCGATTTACTGAAATGCTACTCAGAATCTGTAGCGACAGAACCATTCTTGAGAGCATCTTAATATTGAGAGACGTTTGAGTATTTGAACATAATTGTCCTATTACAAAAATTTATAAATGTAATTTAATTGTAGGAGGTAATGTGTCTTGATTTTATAACACAACCAATTCTATTACAATATTAGGCGGTACGATATATATTAACAATTGTCATTCTTTTTTTCTAGCAACTGGGTCTAATACACGCGGATCTGAAGCCAGAAAACATAATGTTAGTTGAACCAGCGCGACAGCCATACAGAGTCAAAGTCATCGACTTTGGAAGCGCTTCACATGTCAGCAAGGCTGTCTGTAATACGTACTTGCAGAGCAGATACTACAGGTAAACTATACCTACATTAAAACCTTTATAGGGACTCGATAAACTCTTAATAAAACAGTTTAAATTTATCTCAATTTGATTTTAAAATGAAAATTATCATTTGAAACTAGCTTTTACCTACATGAATCAGCTTATGTCCTGCTTTGTATCTACAACTAAATATGTGAATTATTTAAGAAGATTGGTTGGAAGAAGCAAACATACTGTTGTCTTACTGTGGCCAATCTTTATTAAGTTTACATCTGACTCTTTAACATAATATCAATTCGTAATATTTAGTTTTTATAAGACAACATCTAATAAAATGTAAATTCTCTTCACCAGAGCACCGGAGATAATCTTGGGGCTTGCGTTCTGCGAAGCTATCGACATGTGGTCGTTGGGCTGTGTTGTCGCGGAGTTGTTCCTGGGCTGGCCGCTGTACCCCGGCTCGTCGGAGTACGACCAGATCCGGTACATCTCACAAACGCAGGGTTTGCCAACTGAACACATGCTCAATAGGTATGGAACATTTTCGATACTTATTTTTATTAATCGTTGTACATTTTTGTAAATCTTTTCGAGTATTAACAGCCAGTCTTAATTATGTAGGTTCCTATTATTTGTAGATTTGGTTACTACTTACTAGAGATAATTTTGACATACATGGACTTTATCGGTCGAAATTAATAACCGATATTAATTAATCCACAATCTGTGAATTGATCTAAGTTTTTGACAGAAACTCCATACACCTAAATTAGAAAATAAAAATATTTCTTTAGTAGACAAATCTACGGATAAATAAGATTATAGAGACTGGTTGGTTAACTTGTTTTAAACTCCATTCCATTTATAAGTCGGAGCAGTATTTATTCAATTCTAATCTTCTTTTACAGCGCTAGCAAGACGGCGAAGTTCTTTTATCGTGATGTAGACAGTACATACCCATTCTGGCGTTTGAAGACCCCTGAGGAACATGAGCTGGAGACAGGCATTAAAAGCAAAGAAGCCAGGAAGTACATCTTCAACTGCCTTGATGACATAGGCCAGGTTAATGTACCGACGGACCTTGAAGGCGGCCAACTTTTAGCTGAGAAAGCAGACAGAAGGGAGTTTATTGATTTACTGAAGAGAATGCTCACTATGGACCAGGTATGTATCATCAATTTATTTATTACTCCTGTATGATTTCACCGATTGCTCTGCTTATAATGGTCGTAGCGTGATCTTTTATGGCCTTATAGTCTTCATAGATAAATGGAAACACATAAAAGTTAATTTTGCAATTCGAATCAGTAATTCTGGTAGTAAACAAACCCTTTACTTTTATAATATGATGGTCATTAATTCTCTTTGAATATTGCAGGAAAGACGAATAACTCCTGGTGAAGCATTGAACCATGCTTTCGTGACACTCGCCCATCTCGTGGACTACGCGCACTGCAACAACGTCAAGGCGTCCGTTCAAATGATGGAGGTAAGCTTTGCAATTTTGTATCATTATCAAGAAGTAAGAGTCCATTGCTTGTTGCTGGACTGCACGGTTGGTGCGGTGGCTGGGCAACCGGCTGCCGTGCAACGTGTCGCGGGTTCGATTCCCGCACGGAACTACACTTGTTCACACAAATTGTTGTTTCGGGTCTGGGTGTCATGTGTATGTGAACTTGTATGTTTGTAAACGCGCACACGACACAGGAGAAAATACTAATGTGGGGGAAAGTTTAAAAAAAAAAATGCTGGATTAGGAATCTCTTCAAAAGAGAGGTTTGCCCTAATCTTCCCATTTGAAAAAAACATATTCTACTCTGCCGTCATCACCACAAAAGTCTTTATTGAGAAATAATTTGGGTTTCATATTTTTAGTTCAATTCATAAACGTTGCGTTTCTAGGTGCCTTTTTTATTTACTTGGTTAACTTTCCTGGATTTGTACATGAGTTTCCTAACGTGTACCTATCTTCCCAGGTATGTCGTCGTTCAGGCGGCGGCGTGGGCGGTGTGGGCGGCGTGGGCGGTGGTGGCGCGGAGTATGTGTCGGGCGTCGTGGCCGGCGCCGCGCCGCCGCACCATCTCGCGCTCACCATCAACCAACAGAGGCTCAGGGCGGCGCCTTATGACAACCTTGTAAGTATACTTCTTCTTTATGACCAGCAAACGATCCGACGCATCACCTGATGGTAAGCAATCGACACCGCTTACGATGGACACTCGCTATAAAGTTACAAGGGCGTTGTCGGCCTTTTAAGGGGGTTGGGATCACCACAGATGGGGCCCAACAGGGCCGATGCCGATTCGGAGTCGCGGAGAACCTAACATGTAACCGGGGCTCCGGCTCGACGTGCAGGAGAAGGAACGGGGTGGTTTTTAGTCAGTAAGAGTGACACTCCCTCCCGCCTCACCCAGACAGGCATTCGATGATTTTCCCCCCTTAAAAAAGGGGGTTGGGATTGGAGATTTCGAGAATGATATGAAGACGTTATAAGTTGCGATCGCATCCAAAATTCATAAGAAAGATTTTGTTTGAAAGGTATCGATATAATAAAAGTAATGAATTTGGCCAGTTAACAACCACACTGTACCAATAAAAAACACGATTTTTACAAATTTTTTCAACTTTTTTAAAACAAAATATTAACGTACCTTTCTTTCTTTTTCTAGTACCAGTTATACCAGGGCGGTCGTGTAGCAGTGGGAGGTGCCCGCCAGTACGCGACGCGTGCTGCAGAACCATTCCCTCATCAATTCGTCTCGTCCATCCTCTGCCAGCCAGCATACCAGGTGATTATGCATAATATTTATAGCAATCATAATAACTACCATTTTAAAAAGAAGCGCGCATGGATGAAATTTATCGACAGCAAATCAAATAAAGATTACAGTAGATATTCACCCTATTAACTTTTAAAATTAATAAATTAGTAAATATAGTTCCTATTACTAAAAAGACTGTAGCCGTCCTAAGAAGACTCTTTAAAGACTGAAGAAGAAGAGTTAGTGTTTGCCTAGTTCAGTCTAGTCTATTTAACAAGTACTATTTTTTTGTAATATTCGTCTTTTATAGACTTTTTTCCAACTGTGAAACTATTTTGTTCCAATCAACAGTATAGGAGTAGCCACTGGGTGTATGGACATTGTCCGAGCCCTTTGCCTAACAGTGGATGTCTTCCATCTGATGATGACCAAGATACAAACCTATTTTTAAGGGAATCTTACAGATCGCTCCAGTATTCTTATATGCATTTAAAATGGACTTTATTCAGCAACAAAATGTACTATGAAGTTTTTATTCCACCATAAGTACATATTTTTTATAAAACAGTAATTATACCCTAAAGAACTTAGCATCTTCGTGTAACAATGATCAGAATTGAAGTAACTATTGGATGTAAGGACGGAATGTCCTGAGCTCTGTGCTCAACAGCGGATCTCTTCTGTTTGATTATGACCAAGATGTACATAGCGTATTACACAGACTCTAATCATCCTAATTATTCTTGAAAAATAAGTACAAATCATGACATGAATAATGACATGCTGTACAATGGTTCTTTAACAAATCCTTACTATATAAAAAAAATTCAAAGACGAAGTTGCTTTGGGTAGGATGTTATTTACCTTTATTTATGGGTGGAATTAAATGTTGTGTCAATTCAAAGTGTTGTAGCGTTATGTTCGTTCCACGTGTATTACATTACAGTTATAAATAAAAGAGAAAAAAAGAAATAGGTATTTGTTTTTTGCGGATATCCCAAAATATTACTCTCATTCTTAAAATTGTTGTTATATACAAATATGATGTTGGGTGTCTTCAAGTCCCGAGTGAACAGGTTGCTCATAGGTAGGCGTGCTCCATCGTCCGCCACATTACCTATCGCTTGCCACCAGGCGAGATGCCAAACGCCATCATATTAAGTATCAATAAATATAAAAGTGCTTGCCACTCAGAGCCGAACCCTTAAGAAAATAAACCTATACGACTGTACAATAGGAAGGGTTTCGGTATAATATGGGTTAGAAACCCATCGACAAAAGACAGATATGAAATACATAATTTGAAAATTAAGGTTTTAGTTACATACATAAGATATTGGTAAGACATTCTGTAACTTAGAAACTGCTGAAAAAGAAAGCACTATCTACTTTAAAACACACTTCGTGAATACACACATAAAAAGATAATAATATCATTCAACAATTGCTTTGATATTATTCATTGACAAATAAAACAACTAAAAGGCTTATAACAAAAAATCGATTGACAAGGAACAGACTGTATGTCAAAATAATCTAACAAAAAATCGTATCAGTCTGTTTTGTATGTGTATTATTTCAATATAACGAAATAAAACTGTAAAATATTACTTTGCATAAAGTACGAGCTCCACCAGGTGCAGCAGCTCGCTGCGGCCGCTGCAGCCGCCGCCGCCGCGCACCATCAGCACGGCGTGGCGGGCGTCGCAGGCGTGGCTGGCGTGGCCGGCGTGCCAGGCGTGGCCGGCGTGCCGGGCGTGGGAGACGTGAGCGGCGTGGCAGAATGGCGCGCACCTCTCATCGTGGAACCAGCGCCCATGCCTGAACCTGATGTATGGGATGCCTTCCATCCACATCATCCGCAACATCATCACCCGCATAAGAGGTTGGTATCTTACTTTTACCTTTTCTATTATAAACAAAACACTTTTAGCATAAGCAAGATGTTCCAATTCGTTTTACGGAGAGTACAATTTACGTACAAACGTTTTCCGTTGATCTTTAATATGAAAGAATGATCTAGTTATTAAAATTCAACAGAAAACAGTCAAAAGTGAGACTAGCGGTTTCTAAAATAACGTTTTTTACTAGGTAAGAGAATTGTTGCCAAATAAGAAACGTTGTTAAATTTCGTTTTAGGAGTAAAAAATGTAATTAAAAAGCACTCCGAAACAAACCCGATCTCATACAAATCCTGTATAACATAAGAAGTACTAATAATAAATAAGAAGTAATAAAATAAAAACAGCCGAACATAGTACCTCCAGCCGAACATAGTCGGTAAAAACTAAGAGGGAATAAGCAAGTATTAAAAGCTAGGGTTGTCGACAGATCTACAAAGCAGCAGACGACGGTGCCGCACTACCAACCGCACCACCAAACGCATCAATACAGGTGTTTACCATTACCACAATTATATAAAAACCGTACAATCTATACGTCTATATAGTTATCCCTACTTAATATTATGTATCGTATTTGTGTACGTCTATATCCACAAAATTACCTGTAATTTTTCACTTTCACCAGCCCTAATCCCACAATATATAGTTGTTAGTGCTATATATATATTTATATTGTGATGTTTATTTTATTGTCGCTTATATTATGTTATTACTACATTTATTTGTATCTTTTCTTAGTTTTACTCGGTGTATTTCGTTCTTTAGTGAAGATTAGTTTAGTGTTTAGATAGCTTACAGTGGATAGCTCGATTCCCGTGTCATGTTCGTGAACGGGCGCTGTCAACTGGGACTGGTCAGCGCCAAACTGTATTATTTTATTGTCGTTAGGGTTATTTGTCTTTTCGATCTCTTTGACCCCACAAAACTATGTAACTAAAAAATAACTAAAGAATTCTATTGTAAACCTAATTGAAAAAGAGTATAATAGTAATCTATGGAGTTTCTCGCTCATTCTTCTCCATAGGAATCTACACCTTGGAATGAGCAATTAGCTTCATTTGTATATTTTTGGTGACGGTCAAAACTGCCTTTATGGTCAAATTGAAATATAAATTTTGACATTGACTTTGCATAGAATACAAAATTCGATTGTTAGAACTTGAAACAAATAATTGATTACTGCGGAAACACGCATATTTAATTCAAAGGAGCTTGAGCGGTTCAAATAATTTTTATTTATTTATTTATTTATTTATTTATTTATTTATTTATTTATTTATTTACTTACTTACATTTACCATTACAGGAATTACATTACATAATGAATAAATCGTTCACGTTTTAATAGGAATGATTAAATCCTGTATTACGATGGAGAAAAATATATTTAGCGCAGTTTATTTTTTCCATAATTAATAAATAAGTCTATCATGTAAGGCACAGACTGGAGATATTAAAATAATTAATGTATTAAGTTTTTAAATTTTACAATTTGTAGTAATTAATGTATTATTAATACATTAATTATTTTGATATCAAACGAAACGGCATTTCATTTTTATTTAGTAATTCGCGAATAATTATTTTAGATTTCAAGATTTTATTTTACAAAGCGTTTTTTATCTGTTTATACATTAATACAGCTTCACTATGTAGCATTATTATATAAAAACATATAGCGTAATGATTAAGTAGATAACTTGTAATCAAAAAGTAGTACAGAAATAGTTATTTATTTGTACGAGTCGTTGAATTAACGAGTTTTAAAATTTGCGCAGTATGGCAAGCAGCGGCGGTAAGAAGGAGCCGACACAACTGTCGCCGGTGAAGAAGCGGGTGAAGGAAGGGACTCCGCCATCTAGGCATAGGCATCATCATCACGACCACACGTATGTATTCACAAGAGGTCTTATTATAAAGTTATATTAAGGTTCTTTTTGTAATTTACAGGTTGTTAGCAGGTCAATTTACTCCGATATAACTTGTTTTTCATTAAAAATTGAAGTTGAAATCGACTAACCCCCTTTTATATGAGATTCTTAACATGTATATCTAGTGCTTGCAACGCACTGGCAACTACTTTGCAACGTTGATCACTTACGATCAGGTGATCTATCTCCTCATATTGGCTAAGATACGTATATGAACTTGTATGTTGTCTCATTTACATTTTTAAAAAGTCATGAGTTAAGAAAATTATTAAAGACTTCAAAATTGTATTGAAACCTATAATGATTTATTAAAATGATGAATGAATTGCGCAGTGTCCGCGGCGGCGCGTGGGAGGGCGGCGCGGGCGGCGCGGGCGCGGCGCACACGATCACGATCCGCGACACGCCGTCGCCCGCCGTCTCCGTCATCACCATCTCCGACTCCGACGACGACAACGACGCGCCGCGCCGCGCCAGGCACCCGCAGCCGCACAACAATACTGGTACGCACATACTGCCACTCTTTGTACAATACCAAATAGATCTAATTAACTAAATTCGCGGGTTACTCACGTGAATATACTGAGAAAAGCTCTACTAGTTTCGAACCACAGAGGGTTCTTCCTCATGAGCAGCGTGCGCGGTCGCGGCGTTGAGCTGTGAGCTGCGTGACATATATTCACGTGAGTAACCTGCGTTTTTAGTTAATTTAGTATGTCTCACGATAGTCAATACGTGATTACACGATATAAAAACATAGCAAATAGATCATTTGTAAAAGCAATCATTAACCCCCCCATGAGCACTCAACTCATAAGTCAAAACATAAAACAATCGTTGTTTCACGCCGTTAATCTGCTTATTACACAGCTGAGAAATAGCCATTAACAAAAACTCCGCTGTAACTTTCAAAATTAACAAAATCTTCAATTTGATATGGGTTTGAGTAATCCAAATTGTTTTACTTCTTTATCTATGTGTTTATGAAGAAAAAACTTAATTTTTGAATGTTTATACGAGTTTCGAAATGCTTAGAAATGTTAAAGCGAAGATTTGAATAGCTGTTAAAGATGTATGAAGGATTCGCATATTACACCTTTTACTTTTATTTATTACTTAATAATTATAAATGTTTATTATTGCAGGCGGCAACGGTGAGTGCTTAAGCGGTGCGGTGGCGGGTACAAGCTCGGGCTCCGGCGGCGTCATATGTAGCGCGCGCTCGCCCAAGGACGACAAACATGTCAAGCATGAACCGCACCAGAACTGTCACCATCATCATCAGGTTTGTACAATACAATCCTTAACTAACCTTATACAATCCTTTTTTTAAATTGATCAATTTGGAACAGGGAAGGATTATTATAATAACTTATATATGAACCGTATTTATCAGGATGGGACGATAATGGTTGAGATATTTCAAAAACACAAACTTGTACATACGTACGTATGTTATTGTACATGATGAATGTTCATTGTTGAAGTTAAACTGGGACTAGCAGTGTTCGACTTTATAACTGTTAAGGACCATTTCACTTTGCATTAGGTGCAGTTCTTGAAGTTCTTTTATTTTAACATCTAACAATGGCGTCATCTAGGTATAAATTCTCATATTATACTAGCAAGATCATAATGAAAACTCTATTCTTATTCCCCAGCAACCCCAGCCGCAACAGTCATCAGCGGCGTCCCAGCCGGCGCCGGGTCCGCAGGGCGCGCCGCCGCCGGGCCCGGCGCGGGCGGGCGCCGCCGTGCCCGTGGCCACCCCGCAGAGCCAGAAGAAGCGGCTGCTGGCCCTGGCGCAGCAGGAGGCGCAGGCCAAGCGGGAACACGAACATGTACACTCACATCTACCTCCCGTATGTATACACACCGTTACTGCGCTAACCATTATAACGTCTTACTTAGGTAACGGTTCCAATAGAGAGACAAAATTTTGATTTAGATTAGACACAGGTAGATTGGAAATTAATATGTCAAAATTCTACATCTAAAAAATATATCTACAGGATATTGAAACCAATCGTTACTCGTTCTTCGTCCCTACGTTTCAAAGAGTTGATACTTTGTGAAACGTGGAAATAAACGTTGCATTTACGGCTAACAGACAAACTTTTTGCATTATTTTCAAAAGCGGCTTTCTTTTACTGACGCCGGAATATTAAGCTATATTCTTTTTTACTAAGCTGTTTGCTTGACATTTGGATAATCTACATGCAATCTAGTATAACATAAGTTTTTATTGTGATTACAGAGCGGGTCAACAGTACGTCAAACGAACGACTATCAATGCAACCAGTATGTGCCGGCGCAGCACAATAAGAGAGATAGTGTAAGTATTAAAAAGTGTTTTATTAAAATAATAAATTAGTTTCTGTTAGTAGTTTCGCCGGCTTACTGGAGTAAGAAGTACTGTATGCGTTGTTTCAGAATAAAATCTATATTTGTACATTCAGTAGTTGGTCGTGAAAGAGACTTAATTGTGTAGCTGTAACGTTAGTGACAATTATTAGTAATCTGACCTCATATTAGTCAAGTACTGAATGAAAACTAAGTTTCGAATTCCGAAATAAAGCATGTCTTTCGTTTCAAATAATACCAATGACATTTTTTATTACAGAGCGGCGGTTGTCGCGAGTACCTGACTAATGGAGCTGGAGTAAGCGGAGTGAACGGCGTGGGTGGCGTGAGCGGCGTGAGTGGCGTGAGCGGCGTGAGTGTGAGCGTGAGCGGCCCCCCCGCGGCTCACAAGCACGCCGCGCCCCACGCCTGGCACCACCACCCACATCCACACTACAAGTTAGTAAACATACTCGCTTACTGCGATCTTTTATGGCAATTGTATGCTATGGTTATATCTGGAGCTACTGTTATATTGTATAGCCATTTAGAGAATTAGACCAATCACTCCTTTACATCCAACTACTCAGTTAAAAGAAGTTTCTTCAACATTTTTACTGTGCAAATAACTGAGTACAGATTTTTTAAAATTTTCATACAGTGTTTAAAACTTTATGCGTAAACTTTTCTATGAAGTTAACTTTTTCGTTGTGTAAGCTTCTACACTTATTCTTGGTAGATATAAATCTTTGTTCCTTGTATAGAAGAACAGTCGTCAAAACCATTATCAAAACGAGTTATTGAGTTAAAAACCGTGTTATTCCAGGACCGGTAGTGGTGGAGTATTGTCCCCGGGCGGGGGAGTGTCCCCCGGATATTTGCCGCCACCTCTATACGTACCTACATACCACTATCATACGTGAGTATTAAACACATTTATATTTACCTACATTTTTTTTGTTTCTTTATTGTTGATTTCATGTTAATTGACTTTGTAAATGAAAGCAATGAAATTCAACAACATTTTATTAGTATGACCTGAAGAATTAATACGTCGGTAACTCTTTTTAGAAGGTTAGGAAAGAATAACTTTATAATAAGTGTCTCATTACGAAATTATGATAAAAACGTTTTGCTGACGTAACCGTATGTGGTCCCCAGTGGCGGCGTAGGCGGCGTGGGCGGCGTGGGCGCGCCCCCGCCGGCGCACCACGCGTCTGGCGGACGCCTGCCGACGTACCTGCAGCCGTACTCGCCGACGTACCTGGTCCCGCCGCAGCAGCACCTGTGGTACACGGACTGACACTAGCCCGGCCCACGCACTCCGCACTACGTCTCAATCGATCGAACGTCTTTTGTATTCTTTCTTAGCGATGTACGCCTGTAATCGCGCATATTCGAATTATACTTAATCCGGTATAAATGTTTAATCGTATTTGTTTACATGTGTAATTTATTACATGATAGCGATGTATGAGCGCTTTTAAATGTATGTATAATAGATTAGTGAATTATTTGTATCGTTCGATGTCGGTGTCTATACTGTGACGTATGAACACGGTTTGTTCACATGTATTATATGGATTGTAAATTTCGCGTTATATTTTGCTGATAAAGCGAGTAGGTTGCATTTACTAATATTTTATCATAGTTTAGTGTTTGTACCAAATCATTTTAATGGGGAATTAATTGATGTAACGAGTATGTAACTAATGTGTTTGTGTGGTGACGCGCGACGTACGCGACTCGTTTTAGTTTACGTCACACTGAGTTTGTCAATTATAAAGTTTTATTTGTGTTGTACGTGTTGAGGACACGCTTCAGATATACGAGTATCGGCTGTACCGAGGTTTGAGGATAAGAGTGTTACGTTCCAAGTGATGCAAACATTTATTGCTGTGTCTATCTTATATGCAAAATTAAAGGGTTTTATATTACGTAGGATAACTAAATGTGTAGGGCGCGGTGATGGACTACTTGTATAGATGTAGATTCGAGTAAATTAAACGAAATAAAAAAATCTATCTAAGATATTTTATAAACATTTAGTACACACTAATGATTAACTAAGATTGTAATAATGCATGTATAATCCACATTAGATAGAATGAAATTGTTTAAAAAAATTTAATAATGTCCTTTATAGAAGATGAAAAAAAAATTATATGTTATGCAATTATTTTTACGACTGCAATTGATTTTAGTTTTAATATTTTGATAAGTGTTTAGTGACACTAGAGAGCTATTATATTTCGCTGACTTGATACGCGTCGATTAACGACTGGGTATTTCAGTTTCGCAGTGTTTAACATGTGTGTAACCTGATGGTGGGTGTGACAGGCCCGGAGTAGCCCGGCCGCGCCGCGATGTATAAGTATTACATAAATAAGTCATATCGTACAAGTTCCCTAGCAGTAACACTACCCGACACACGCCGCGCGGCCCGCTCAGTGGACGCTACGGACGCACGACGCTCGCAAACTATATTCCTTACTATATAATTATAATTATATATTATAAGATGCATCACTTTTACTATATCTGCTATATATTCACAACAATCTTTATTAGATATTGACGCTTTTTTCGACAAAGTTATCAAACTCTATTTAGAAGTATTACGATGTTATTACTAATTGTAACTTTGATGTAGCGTGTTTTTATAGAGCTTTTGGTGTCATGCAACCGCCAGTATCGACGGGTAATACGCTTATGTGTCTGTTTATCCTATAAATTAATACGATATCGTCCTACTCGGGACTTTTTTTAACAAATTTGTAGATTATCATTAACGAAGTAAATCGTCGTCTGCCTCCCGTAGCGTACACTAAGTACGTTTTTTTTATTTTATTATTACTATTTGGTTTATCATTTTATTTAGTATTAAGTGTTTAATTTATAAATATCCACCATTTAATCGCAAGATACTATACACCACTGCATTATTTTAAATTCATACTAAACATGTGTTATATGACAAGACTACTATGTAATATTATTAGTTTAACATAAAGTTAGTAGGCATTAGTTTTGCTGCCCGACAATAATGATTATGTTTAGTTTCGTATTTCTAACGGTTGTAGTTATAACTATGTTACTTTATTTTGTTTTATCGTCAACTGGTTAGTTGATATCGGGCACCGTAGTGAATACGTCAATATTAATATGTTGAAATACTATTTAATTATTAAAACTCCTAATCAATTATCTAAGGATATTCCGTTTTCCAATCTATATTTCTTCTTAGTGTTTCGCCGAATTCTCAAACGTATTCCGTAAGTGACACGCGATGACTGTCACTTGTGTGTGTTACCCCGGTATAGGATTACCGTTTGAGAATCCGGGGGTAATTGTATCACAGAATGTTTTCACAATAGACGAGGAAATGTGTCTTTTTCATGTCCTTTGTAACGGACATTCTGCCAGACTTACTCAGTACGACGCCCGACGTTACGCCGACCTGCGACTGCCCGCTCCTTGGAAGCGACGAGGCGACTATTGTTTCTATGTCTATATTTTCATTAATCACTCAAATCTAATCAATTTTTGTATATTTCTTTGTATGTGCAATAATATGAGATTTTATTATGATGAATAAATTAATCGGATGCAATAATAGGCAATGATATGTAAAATGAATGTAAATTATTTTCAATTTTATGTGAGAATCAGTTTATTTTTATACAATTAAGTGTTGAAAACACTGGTATCCTGTTCGAGCAATGGTTTGCTAGAACAGTGCGTATGATGTGAATAGTGTTGTATAGTGGGGTCTGGGGTCTGGGGTCGGTAAGGGCCGGCCAGTCGCCGCGGTCGGCGGTAGGAAGCGAGATTGCCCCCTCTGGCGAGGCTTTAGTCAATGATCTCTGTTGAAACGTGCACATATTATAACTATTACCCCTACGTATCGCTATGTGGCACGGCGTTAGTTCGTCTCAATCTTTTGTTTTAGTGATTTTATTATTTCTAAGCTTTTATTGGAGTTTTGGGGTTTATTTTTAAGCGTATTAACATAATGGAATGTTAACACATTTTCTATAATAATTTTGTCCTAGTTCATATTATATACGTTATACGTCTGCTTACGGTATCGTTTGAAATTGCCTTATTATGTTTTAGTGTGTATATGGGGCATGTTGTCGCGGCGCAATCGACCCATAGTATCGCATACAGGCCGGCTGCATGACTGGCCACTGACTGCCCACTCACATTGTCGGTGCAGTAGCGAGCGATGCAGTCGACTCACGAGATATCTGAATGACGGCTGTACGTCGACGTGATTCTGTGATTATTACTCATATTATTATTAGTTCGAAAACTGTAAATGTGGGTTGTTGCAATAAGAAAATTCTTTTTGTGTGTATAAAATTGCATTTTGCGAAGCAGCTGTATGAAATGCCCCGTGTATATGTATATTAGTTTAGTTGTGTATGGTTTCACCAAAACACGATACCGATTATATTTATAGAGGAAATTAACACGAAACAAGTCGCGATTAGCAAATTCGAGTGTCGACAATAATTTATTGTTCTAATGGTAACAATTAATGTACAAAATACTCCGAGTAAGTTGTCAATAGCCCGCACATATGTTGTAAGTAGACAGATTGTGTTCCGCCGTGATGCAGTGTAGCGGTGAAACTGTAATGGTAGGCTTACGTTTGGTTTAATTCGTGTAACTTGTAACTACGTACCGGCAGGTACTGGCCGAGAACTAACTCTACAATATTGGGTATTTTATGTTTTAATTTAGCTTATAGGGGCTTGTGTAAACAAGTTGAAACTATTAACATGTTTTAAAATTCGATATGTGGGTGATCAGGGGATATAGCACAGATGTTGCTTAAGTTTCTCTTCAATAATAATCAAATAGTTTATTATTAGATGAAAAATTGTAAATAAACATCCAAATATCCCTTTTTTATTTTATTTTTATTTATTCCTTTTACCTTATTTTCCTTTGTTTTGATTTTTTATTATTTTGGCGTATATGGGCCTGTCTTCGTGCATCGCAACTAGTATACTCGTGCGCCGGCGCCGCCTCAACCGCACCGCGCAACGTTTATAAAATAATTGTAATCGTAATAAATATATTAGTATATCGACATCGCTATACATTGTTCCGTGTAGTGTGCGCGTGCGCCCGTGAGGCGACGGTGGCGCGCTCTGTAGTCAATAGCGTGGCGAAAGACGCCTGAGCTGCTGTCTCGACAATAACCCAGTGTCAGACAATAATCATTCTTATAATTTGCCAATTAGTAGACAGTTTTGTTTGGCCCCTTATTAGTGACCATAGTATCTACGTGTGTACGATGTGTAGACCTGTAGAGAGTAGCGTGTGGCGAGTAGTGGAGCGTCACACGGACAGATAGACCGACAGTCTTTCCTAGCATATCTTATATGAATAGTTAAGTGTATTGATGTGCGCAGTAGATACATCTTTATATTAACTGGCGAGGCGAGTCACCTGACGATATATTGGTAGCAAACTGTCGCAGGGTTATATCGTGACGACTACTTTACATACATAGAATAAATACTCTTTTTATATGAAGTGATCTTATCACCCATTTTCTACAGCTAGCACTTATTTATAAATTATAACAAAGATCTAATATCTTCGATAAATGTATTCCTTATTATTATAATATTGAACATTTGAACTATATATTATTATTATATACATAATTATTATAAAATATTCCTCTTAGGAAGTAATGAGCCCAGTATTGAATGGATGTTTGCGTTATTTTTTTAATATTCTTAACACGATTCTAGTGTGTATTATTACAAACTTCCTTGTTCATAAATAACAAAGTAATATTTCAATTTATTCGTTAAATAAATGTTTTACACATAATGTAATGTATAATAGATTTTTCCAAATGGACTGACTGTTAACCGTTTAGATTATATTGTATCGTTACTCGTGCTTAGTCCGCAATTTGTATCGATGGTAGTAGTGCACAATGCTACGTGTAAGTAACTTCAATGGAGTCTACTGTTATTACGATTTAATGTTTCGATGTTGAGCACCGCGTTGTAAGTAGCTAGCAGTGACGCAGCGACACGGCGCACTCCGCGGCGGCTCGGGGTGCAGTGGGAACAACTCGCTATTTGTATTTGGCATAACGTAAGATTATATAAACTCTAATTTAACAAGTCTGACGTCACAAGTTTGTTGTTACTAGATATAGTTATGCTGCTGGTTAGGCTCTACTCTATAGAATTAACTTTTGTATATTCATTCTATATCTACCTACTAGGTAAACTATATGTGTGATAATAACAATAAGCTTTCAAC